ACTTGTAAATCATGTCCTGAGGGCCAGCATAGTGGCAGGAGTGTGTGGTCAAAATTCCACTCAAATCCACTGAGAAACACCAAAGTTACGGTCAATTGAATGCCATATGAAATTTAAGGGTAGGCTGCCCCCTTAAGGGGGCACATCACCCAAAAATTCGCTGAAAAATCGAATTTGTAAATTCATATTGAGTGCTACGTCAGTTGAAAGAGCATGAATAGCTGCAAATTCTCTGAAAACTGTGTCCCTATCTGACCAGCCGTTCAAGAGTTATGGCCGAAAATGTGCCCTTGCAAGGAAAGATTTTTTTGTTGCATGCTGTCATTTGTTGGCAGCACTGTATTTGAATGTGAGCAGACCGTGCGCAACTTGTCGTATTATGGAAACACGCGAAAGTGTGCAGAATTTTGCCCCAAGTCCAAAAAAGTCCAAAAAATCACGTTAAAAAACCACGTATTGGGCTGCACGGCGGCGGGCGAAGCCCGCCGCCGTGCAGCAGGACTTTTGCCAGCACCCTCGTGACGTTGCAGATATGTGGCTTGATTATTGTAGTTGACGTTGATTTAGTGACTTTGGCAAGTTTGAGTCGTGTCAAGAAGTCAGGTAGGATTCAGTACTAGGCAGTAGTGAAACGTGAGTGGCAGTCTTTGCCGGTTTCTGAGGGCATCCTGGATTTGGTTTGCAGCGCTGTGGAAATGGCTTGCTGTGGAGGTCCCAGCACTGGATGTTGTATCAAAGGTACGACCTCGTAGCACGTGCCAAACCTAAAAAAATTCAAAAATTGCATTGGGTCTGTGGGAGTCCGTGAAAGAACGCCCACTCGTTCCGTTGTGACAGATTCCAGGGCCACGTTGAGGGGCCCTACCCCACCACCCATGGCTGCTTCTGGACTTGTTTTAGGTTTGGGTCCCGCGCACGGACAGAATGGGCACGAAAATGTGAAAAAAATGTAAATGCATTTGTTTGGCTCCTGGGTGGCTCGCACACCGTAGCACTATGCCGGAAATTTGAGTTTTTCCGGCCTGGAAAGCCTGTCAGTGAGACGCAAGAACTTGTAAATCATGTCCTGAGGGCCAGCATAGTGGCAGGAGTGTGTGGTCAAAATTTCACTCAAATCCACTGAGAAACACCAAAGTTACGGTCAATTGAATGCCATATGAAATTTTTGGGTGATGTGCCCCCTTAATACACTGTACAATTGTGATGGCAGTGCTGTAGCATTGGTTGAAGTGCTGTAGCATTGGTTGAAGTGCTGTTTGCTCCTGCAAGTAACTAAGTACATGTAATGATGTATGTTACGTGTCCGTGCCTCTACTGCAATGTATTGTATTGTGTTGTATTGATTTATTTGAATTCCGTATCTCAACAGTACAATGTACAACTTGGGAAGATCCGAATGTACACGCCTTGTTTCGTAGATTTTGCAATAAGCGAAGACTCCCCTGTAGCCATCCACTAAACCCATACAGCCATGTACATCTTCACAACACTCCAAACGGTCTCTGGGATAGCCGGCTACACCAATCCCTGAAAAAGAATGAAGTCAGTTTTGTAGAGTGAACACACCTGCGTACATATACTAGGTACTTGTCTTCTCCATGATCCACTGTACACAATGTCATGGTAGTACACATTCAACACATACACAGTCATGTAGCTGTTTCGCTTGGTGTTGTCGTGACCAGGGAAGGGAGTACATATACTGCAATAGGTAAAAAATGATGTACTCAATGTTTGGTCACCTCGCTGCTATCTTTCGCCTTTCCTTTCCAGTCCAAGGCATTCAGCAAGAACGAAGCTGCGTACTCCGTCTTCTGCTGATTCGATTCAACGTCAACATGCAGATTATTTTATTTTTGTTATTTACTTGAAAAGCACATAACCACAAGGAAAGCAGACAAAGAAATAAGAGTACGGCAAGACAGATAACAGAGAGAGAGAGAAAAAGATTTGGGGATGATAACACAGTAGATAGGGATATAATATAATATGTGTGTGTACACACACTTGAGAGGGACGAAAAGCGTTTCTTCTGTAACTCTGAGTTTCACGGTTTTAACCGATCATCAGACAGCAACTACGTATGTGTGTGTATGTATGTGTATGCGTATGGGCATGCCTCTGTCCGTGCATGTGTGAAGTCATTAAATCGGGAATGCACACAGATCCCAGTTGATGGATTGTGTTCCGCTTAGATCGGCAGCACCAGGACGGCGTGTGCGGCAACAGTTTGTGTTGTTCTGAACTTGGTCATTAGCGACACCCGCACGCTCACACGCACACACACACACACACACACACACACACACACACACGCACACAAACACACACACACACACACACACTGGTAGCAATTGCGGCCCTTGTGCTCATCACTGCGAGTCCCATCAACAGCATCGCCGCTCCTAAGGTATAACTCCCGCTTCTGCTCGCTCTGCTGCTGCCGCTGGCTACCGTCATCCAGCGACGGTGTTAGTATTCAACGTGTCGGTGGTGGAATGATAACGGGAAGCGACTGCCCGCTTGGCGCACAGCTTAGCCGCTGCGCCTTACCTAAGTGATTTCACGCGTGATCGTCTGCCGAGTTTAAACGTAGGACTCTGCTTGTCGTAACCAACACCAACTCGACACATGTTTCCAATAAAATCACTTTTGCAATCCGCAAAGGCACACAATGAAAACCTTGGTCAAATTCCGTTGTGACTCAGAGTGTTATGGCTGAACCAATCAGCAGACAACGAACCTTTTGGAATTCAGTATGCTTAAAATGCACGCTAGTTTGTACGTGTAGTGCCTGGGTTACAGTGAGAGCTGCGTCCCACCAGCCTGTATGAATTCACAGGCAGTGTGAGTTACGAGGTCTGAAGAATATGCTGAACGGCCTCTGCCGGGATGACGACTACACCATAGCTCAGTGGTTAGAGCATCGCTGGCCTCAAGCGAGGGTCCCTGGTTCGAGTCCTGGAGGTGACAGTCAATTGTTTCTTCATATCCCACCTTTATGTTTATGAACATTGTCATTCGGATCTTCCCAAGTTGTACATTGTACCATTCAGATACCGAATTCAAATAAATCAATACCAGACATGTACACCATAATACAATACAATAGAGTACAATCTAGATCGTTATTTTTTTTGTTATGCGGTGAAACCGTTTGTAAGTATAACGTACCTCCAGGATCCATACAATTATAATATGTGTGTCTTCATAGCCCAAGTACTGTATATCCGATGCAAAGAGAAATGTATGTTATATCCGTGGTACAAGCTAAGTAGCTAAACACTTCCAAAGTTCTCGATATTTCGAGGACCAGTGCCTAGTTGTGCCAAAATCGCCATAAACCAATATTTTCATTGCTGTTTGATGACTGAATGGCCTTTCCCGCCAGGAAACTGCAGAGTAACTGAAAGCTTTCGTTATATCCGTGGTGCGTAATGCTGAAAATTCACTGAGCTTTCGCTGGTTGATTTCCGTGCAGGCTACTATTGATCATGGCTCAGTAACTAGAATAGGAGGGTTTGTAATAAACGAACCATGGCGAAAGGTAGGATGAGGGGGAGAGGGGGGCAAAAATTAAAAAAAAAACTCAAATGAGGAAAGTTGGCACAGCAAGAGACGGTAGCCTTGCAGAGCGTATAGTCCTACACCATACAACATGCCTATCGACATCAGCCTAATCATTATTACATCACCATCCGCATTTACATAGGTCGTTCACGCGTGAACATGAGCCCCATACTTCAATATCGTACTTCAATATCACATTGCTTTTCCGGAGAGCTCAGTGCCAAGGAACTAGCCCAGTTAAACGGATCAACTGCTCTGCGATATTCTTGGAGACCAAATCAGGGAGCAACAGCAGAAAGCGATGGACGCAGGGCGGTGCTAATGCACAGGTGTTGTCCATCCATCGAGCCAGAGACTCGGCAAGCCATGAACGTAGCCGCCGCGATAAGACCGTTGTTAACCGCCACTGGTAATGGGTCGTTGTTTAAAAATGCTAACACAGTTCGAAGAGTGATTGCCATGGCGGGCAGACCAGCCAGTCAGGTATTGCGCTAACACAGTCACCAGCCCGTCTGGTATTGTGGCAGTACACAGTAAGCAATTGCTGCATTGCCACGCTAACTGACTGGTGCTCAGTTCGGCAAGGCGGTGACATCCAGGGAGCCACCAGTAATACTGTGTTAGTTATGTTAGTGTGTTCTGTGAGCCAACCCCCACTGGGCCATAGGCCATACTGCCGACAGAGGCAACATTGCTGAGCATCAGACACGTCGACGGACATTATACACAACACGACTGTGTTCATTATACATTGGATCTGATCACTGTACGTTTGTCAACGACTGACACGAAGGCAGGTAGTGGGCTCGCTAAAGGAAGCACGAAACTAACTAGCCGCTAGCCCGGGAATTGCCTACCCGCCGTACACCAACCGCACCGCTAACGAAAGTGAAAGTGCAACCGGTAGCTGATTGCCTTGCACGATAAGCAAGCCGGTTCGCTGCAAGGCCAGCTAGCTGAAAGCGCTGACCTGACGGTGTCACGTAGTTGTAGTTTCGCTTCCACTTTGCCATGCTAACAGTGTTAGCATGCTAGTAGTAGTAGTGGTTTAGAGCGGAGCATAGCCAATGATACTTGATAGAGTTCCATTGTCAGCAGCCTGGCTTAGTCTATGGACTATGGTGGTGGCTCGGTGATGCGGTCGTATTAGTAGTAGTACTAGTAGTATGTTGGCATGACCTACGGTGTCACGTAAGTCGTTGTGTCCAGGGGATATCTATTGTACGGTTGAGTGCAACAGAGCAAGTGAGAAACCCTGGCCAGTTCACAGATCAGGGGATCACTCCACAGCCTCGCAGTAAGTGCATGTCTAGTGGGATATGTATGCTGGTAGCAGCACGTTAGACGTTGGCATGGGCCGGCGAACAGCGTAGCGTAGTGGTATAATGTCATGTTGAACACAAGTAGAAGGAACGCTTCAACAGGCAAATGTAGCTATTGTCCTATAACTAACAAGAGCGGGAAGCTGTAGCTTCATTCTAGCTATTCTTCGCCAGCCCTTACACTCCCGTCTCACTCTGTGTAGTTATTTCTTATCAGCGTCTTCTGAACATAATCTTGGTCCTGTTTTGACTTCTAGGACTCCTTCATCCTGCGTGTCTTCTTTCTCTGCTGTCAACAAGATCGTGCGCGATTATAGTTAAAACGTTGAAGGAGATTACTGCCACGCCTGTTGCGATGGGAAAGACAAGATATTCTGGAAACAGGTCTCTTGGTGCAGCCAGCGACAACGATGGTGAGTCGGCTCAATGCAGCAGGAGCAGTAACACCAGTGTAAGCCGAAGAGAACCTGTGCAGTCAACCAGCGGCAGCAGCAACAGCAGCAGCAGTAGCATCAACCCTGGGCAGAAGGACAACAACGCCATGCGCGCTCTCTATGCTGTTAGCTACTCATACGGTGCAGACGACGACGAGGATGAGAGCGATGGAGATGACAACGAATCAGTTTGCTCCACCGACAGCCTCATGGTTGCTTGCAGCGACGTTGAGAAAGAAGAAGAGGAGGATGAAGAGGACTTGGATGTGCCAAAAACAAAGACCAATCGCAATCATTCAGTGTCGCACCACCGCATCGCTATTGCTAAATCCAGTAGAAACAACAGTGAAAGTAACACACGCCGCAGCAAGAATGGACGGCGTTCCCAGTTCCAACTCCAAACTCCGCAAGCAGCCAGCAGCGCAGCAGTGTTCACAACTTGCACGCCACCAGAGACCCCGGAAAGCTCCACTAGTCGTCGTACGCTCTCGCAGCATTCACTCCACTCACCTGGCAAGCCTGGAGGTGCCTTCGAAAGGCACGCAGCCGCAGGCATGCCCGCACCTTCTCAGACTACATCTTCGGTACGTTCATCCCCCACGCCTGCACACGCGACGACATCAATGGGTGGAACTCAGCATCACCCGACAGTGCTTACGGTCCTGGGAGGAACTGCCCACGCGACTACCATCTCTTCAAACGCAGCCAGTAACATGCTGTCTCCGCCCGCGTCCCCGCAAGAACGTCTGATGAGAGAGTACGCCCATAGGCACGCCGAGGCAGCAGCGGCAGCCGCAGCATCAGGAGGACTTCAGGTCTCACCACAACAGTTGATCGCAGCCCAACAACAACATTTGCACCAGCAACAGCAGCAACAGCAGCAACAGCAGCAACAACAGCAACAGCAGCGCCATCATCCGTACGCTGAGTACATGGCACAACACGCTCGGCATCTAGAGCAGATGCAAATGATGGCAGCGAGTTCAGCACACGCACAACAGCAGTATCAGCAACATCTCCAACAGCACGGAGTCCCGATGCAGGTTTTGCCACAGGGGGCTATTCCAATGACCGTGGAGCATCCGGGCGTGCAGTATCCCCAGCCAGGCCAGTTCTACCCCCACCACCACCCCGGTCAGGGTCTCCAATACTCCCCCACGCAATGTCCTACAGGTGCAAATGACGTCACAGTTATGCATCCCCACCATATGCACGGTACCGGAATCACATCCCACTCAGCATATCCAGCAGCACATCCCCATGCTTTGGTTTCTCATGGTGGCGAGCAGGCAGCAGCGGCGGCGGCAGCAGCAGCAGCTCAACACCCACAGTACGCCATGCACCCGCAAAGCGCTGTGTACGCTGCGCCCTGCTTTGGACCAATGGCTCCTTCTTCCGGTCCCGGACAAATCCCTCAGGCCTGCTGGATCCCTCCGCCAGGTGGAGTCAAGAGTCCCGGATCCGGGTCAGATAAACCTGTCCCCGGGGAGAACCTACCCACCCCGGACGAGTCTAGTGCGAGTAGTAAGGGTGCAGTCACTCCGGGGCAAGCATCCAGTGATGCAGCACCGTCTCCATCGCCCAAGGAACTGCAGGACTTCGTGGCACATTTCAAGGAGCGGCGCACGAAGCTAGGCTATACGCAGACAGATGTGGGAGTGGAGCTTCGTAGCGTGTACGGTGCTGAGTTCAGTCAGGCAACCATCTGTCGCTTCGAATCCCTGCAGCTCGGCTACGAAAACCTCTGCCGCTGGAAAGCAATGCTCACCGAGTGGTTGGTGATCGCGGAGAAGCGCGGGCCAGCCTGGAATCAATCCCACGATAGCTTAGCGCAGCGCAAGCGGCGGCGGCGCACCACACTGGGCCCGTCGGAAAAGGCCGCGCTGGAGCGGCGATTTCTGGAGGACGACTCGCCCACTTCTGACATCATGGCTTCCATTGGTCAAGAGCTGGGACTGGACAAGCAAGTCGTGCGTACCTGGTATTGTAACCAGCGTCAGAAGGTCAAACGAATGCGAGTCTTTGGTACCTATGGCGACAACAGCTGTTCGCTCGCCAGCGAATCAGCACCAGCCAATGGTGATACACACGTAATCAAAGAAGCAGTTGAAGTAAACTAAAGAACAATGTGTACTACAGTGGAATATATCAGAACTTGTCAGCCATTCAGAGAAGAGTTTGCAATGGCCGAGAACACATTGGACCAGTGGAAGGAAACCTATTAATTTTGAATAGTTAGATCCGATATCAATCTGTTTGAGACTGTGGATCTACTGCGCAGTGAAAACACCGCCATTGATCTCTTGCCCTACACACCTTCTTCTCCATTAGCAGAGAGTAACTTACTTGACTGCCTTTGACAGCTACTCACGCTGAGTTTTAAATGATGGTACAACCCCAACAGCTAACTTTCGTGGAAGTTTTTAATCAACACGGAACACGGAATATGTACATGTATGTTGCTAAGGTGATTGCGCGAACCAATAGAAAGGTTTTAGTCACCCCGTCGTGTTTATAATTATCGTCACGATCCTATGATCCTTGATTGTCGAGTCTATTTCACATTTCCCGTTCTCCCCACGCCATTTCCAGTTGACAATGATGGTGTCCATCAAAATTACATGTCTAATGGTCTATATCACTATTATGTTCCAGTGCAATCCTTCGCTGGCATCTGGTCTTCTTGATGAGAATGTTGAGAAAAATAATTATATTCAAAGAAAACAGTCTTTGCTGATCCTCCACTTCTGCTCAAGGGTACATTGTACATTGTACATTGTACATTGTATCCATGGCAACTACACCACTGATGGTCCAAGGAAAGTTATCTGCGACCTCGTCGATCGGCATTGGGAAGATGACACACAGTATACTCCTCACGCAGATTATAAAATTAAAGCTGGCACTTGGGTCGCACGGGGAATATGAGTTTGCATATCATCGGCACACGGTTAGCTGTACTTGTTGATACTAACCTAAAAATAGTATTGCAAACAACGTTTTCCTTTCAGTGTAGACTCGGTAGACTAAATACTAAACTAGTACAGTGTACGGTGTAGCGGGTTTGCTTCTGGGCTGTGCTATGCGCACGTGTTTTGTCATTCGTCGAGCATGATTGCTGTGCGCCGAATAGAATCAGCTGAAGGCCGAGGCGATCATGTCAGTGTCCACGGCCTCGGGCCCAGCAGGAATGTTCCGACGGCCTGCCAGGCATTTCGCAATGGTTACCAACATGTCATATGCATACGCCCACACTGTACCATTATTATGCAATGTACAGCCTACAGGTACTAGGTATAACGAAAAGCGGCTTGGTAGCCTGCGATACGAGGATCAGCATGTCTTCGGCAGAAGAGCAGCGTTCGTTTCACTTTCACTTCCAGCAAGCGCGGTTTTCGCCGCCCGGCACCACTGCGTGGCTAGCTGGCTGAGAAAGCGGCGGATAAGCTGCTGCGCTTCGAGCTTCGTCGCTTGATCAGTTGATGATGTACAATAACTTATGTCATGTACACGTATATGTATGTGATTTAGTAATGATTCATGAATGGCCAGCGAGGCAAACAAAACTGATGCCGACGGATACTGGCGATCAGCGATCTGTAGTGCACGCTGTTTCCGGCGTGTAAACGTTAGTAATAATGAGAGTAAGAACTCAGCTGGTGAGCCAAGGAAGAATTAAACCAAATTGGAAACATGGCAGTCTGGTGCTACCAAGAGTACTCTTGGTTGTACCTAGTGCACGTCTGACTGTTCAAAACCTGGTTTAGTTGGTGGACTCTAACGCATAAGGTGTGCCCTGCCGTTTTCCATGTTAATGATGCCGGGAGTATTTTCTACTACCAGCAACATTGCTAGCAGTCATGAATGTTGAATATGTAATGCGAATTCTGATCTGTCACTAAAGTCTAAGTGCTAATACCGGCACTGCTTTAAACAAGCCAAACGAAGCACGAGGGAATCGCAACTGCATTACTACGACCCAGTTTGCGGGATGCAACGTTTCCTCGTAACGTTCAGTTAACTTCATCCCTAGTGATCCCGAATGGGTGAGATAAGGAAAACCGATTCAACGCAACGTTACATGTATGTAGAGAAAGGCTTTAGTGTAGCCCTGAGGTTGACTCACGTATTTATGTTTACCCTTCCTCTGTCGTATTTCTGTCCTCCCCTCTCTCTCTCTCATTCCCTCTGTCATCCATATTATGGCTGTATCATAGGAGGCGAAACCGCCTGTTGGCGAGTCTGTTGCTGTGGATGTACGAGTGCATGTATGTCGATTGCCGGGTGTTACGCTGACTAAAGTCCCACTCGTAAACAGAATATTAAATGCAGAATTCAGTTGGTTGACGAACCACAACGGGCCTCAGACCTCTCACTCTCTAAAGTACGCTCAGAGGGCATGAGTGCTCCATTCCGTTACCAGTGGGCACGCTATTGCCAGTATCGGTAGTCGACACATGACGAGTTCAAGTACGTGTCGTGCTGCCCAGTGACATGCCGACGGAGAACAGATCTTCACCAGCACCGACAGGAAGGGGGGACAGGATACGGACGTGACACCCAGTCACCACCATATAAGAAATAACTCTATTTAACATGCGGTTCACCGGCCTGACAAGTCATGTGATATTAATATTTGTGCCACAGCATTAGCATAATGTACAATCACATGATTATGTACATCCCTCTGGCGATCCTGTCACATGACTGTCACATGACTGCGTCGCAGGCGAGCACAGTTCGATTGTGTTAGTGGTCGGGTATTGCTAACAGTGACGGTGTGCAACGCTGTGAGCCTCCTGGCAGCCACAACACGCGGATGGCGTGCAGCTCCAACCGTCTCCATGCGGCCGTACGCTAGCTTCTCCCCAGGTGACAGATGGACCGGAATACGAGTCAGTGCTCGAAATCCAAAAGAGTGAGCGACGGAAAAGAAGCAACACTAACACCACGTGGAGTTGTTATGAATGCAAGGAAACAGCGCTTAAGCCTATGACAGTGTGACTACGAGGGAATGAGTTGAATTTGGCCTATGCCATGACATCACTACAGATTGAAAAGAATGCTGGCTTACACAGGTTCCTAGTCTGTATTGCTCTGACAGTGAAAGAGTGAGTCCTCAATCCTCTCTCTGTCTCTCTCGGTCTGTCTCTCTGTCTGTCTGTCTGTCTGTCTGTCTCTCTCTCTCTCTCTCTCTCTCTCTCTCTCTCTCTCTATCTATCTGTTCTGTCTCTGTCTTTTTGTCTCTCTTTCTCCCTCTGTTTTCCTCCATCTCTCTCTCTTCCTCTCTCCATCTCTCTTTGTCTCACTCTCTCTCTATCTATCTCTGTCACTGTGTCAGTCTCCGCCACCATCTCTATGTCCCTCTGTCTTTGTATTTCTGTCTCTGTCTTTGTCCCTGCCTCTTGTCCCTGCCTCTTTCCCTGTCTCTTTCTCTGTCTCTCTTGGGAAGGAGTGTTGGCGGCCTGTAATAAATAGAGTTAGCGTAGACGCAGTACCACATGTGTACTTAGAACGAGTTCGGCTCTGCGCTTGCCATATCACTTTTGGCTGGGCCATTCACATTAGAGTCGGTACCATTTGTAGAGACACTGTATGATTCATACTTCGGCTGATAAGTTATGATAACGTTACGGACTTGATGGCAGACCCAGCCAGGGACAATGTTGAGAGGGGAGACGCCAGGTGACAACAGGACTCTGTATGTGTGTGCGTGTGTTTGGTTCCTCAAACAGAGTTTGGGATTTCAGGGGGTGTCGGCCGTTGGGCGGTTCAATAGCCAATTGAGTCATTCGTCCAAGATTCCTTTTGATTCCCTCTTCTCTCCCCCGGGGAAAGCCAGGTGATCCGTTTTGGAAGTGAGCAAGTACAAGTACAAGTAGAAGTGTATTTGTTTGCAAAGACCACGTCAATGCCAGACATGAGCTGCACCAGGGGATGAAGATACTACACGAATCGTGGCAATGCTGGTGGGGTGTAGGGAGCTCAGTCAACTTAGGGTATTGTGATAATTCGCTCAAGTCCAATGCAATGGCGCCGGCGATGAAGGACAGATAGAAATCCAGCAAGAGCGCTATCGACGTGCCTGTTACGCATTAATATTCTCCAGGCAACTGAAGACTGCTCCCTGATAGCAATATCAACACACGCTCGAGAGCATCGCTGACGTATTGTTGGGGTGCAGCAGAGAGCTGGCCACTTGCAGCCGGCACCTCGCGATCGGCAGGAACAGTAGGCAGTTGTTGGATCTGGTTGAGGATCTGAGCGTGATCAGAGGCACCATCACGACCACCACCACCACCACCACCACCACCACCACCAACAACAACAACAACAAACAATAGTGGCGATGGAACTCGTTACATCAGGATGGTTCGTGACGCGTCACATAGGTTATAATGCGTCGGGAAATGTCACCATTTGCTCCTGGCCAAAACAAGAAACGGTTAACAATTACGTACCACACGTTCAGCACGATCGGTGGTGTCGCAAGTAGACCAGTCGGAGTGCCGGCCAGTAATCAAGACTACTTTGAGCACAGCTTGCACAGAATTAGGAAAGCTTGTGTGAGACAGGCAGTCCTCTACAAGCACAATGTGCTTGTAATTTTCTTACAAATATCCCCCTGTCCAATGTCCAATCAGATGCCGCACAGCATGCAAGCAAGTGGTGGCATATCGTGTAAGTAGGGTCGAGGTGAGGAAAGCCCCACTGACCAGCAGGTCTCCGTTTCGCCACTGGAATCCTGGAGAGAAGGGTCTCTGGTCCAAGTCGAGCCACCCCGCGTCCAGTCCACAGCGTTCGAGGTCGATACGGCGCTTGATGGAGACGAGCGAGCTGTGCGTTACAACAATAGCAACGCCACTATGGCCTCTTGGTAGCAAGTTATCAAAGTGGATTGTGGATAAGCCATCCTGCCCTGCTAACGTATGCATGTACATTGCAGCTCAAAATTGAGAGCTCCATGGCAGCTGCTAGCTATAGGTACATGTACATGTGTGTTCCGCATAGGCAGATTACGTGTGGAGAATACTGCTGATGGGTGAGTGAGTACCGCAAACCACGGGGTAATAGACCCTTTCCACAATAACGGTCACGTGATCCGAGACGGGGCATCCTCTTCGATTTTTGCGCAGAGTACTTCAAGTATCAGTTGTTGAGCATGGTGGAACACTGTATTTTTCCATTTTGGAGATGCAGGAGAGAGTGTCGAGTGGTTTGCCATCGATGGCTGTGGAACCCGTGGACGAACTGTCAAATGAAGATCGGTTGTGTAAGGAACTGAACAGTTTTCTGCTGAATGAGGGCGCGTATCTGTCTGGAAAAAGAAGGAGTTGTTGGAGCGGTAAGTTTTCCGCATTCAGTGGATATTTCGGATTACTGTAGATTGAAATTTATTTTTATTTTCTCTACCTTCTCTCCTCTGTCGATGTAGAGAACACTTCTCTATGCAGAACCCTGATGCTCCTAGAACTAAGAAGGGCACCACTTCCTCGAGTGTACCTTCATCATGCCCAACATTTCATGCGTCCCAGTGGATGAGTGATGAACCTCTGTTTCCCAGAGTGAGTGCCACACCATGCTTGCTCGTCTCCAACGCAGGGGTAAGTCGCCGACGACAGTGAAGAGGGAGCTGATGGAGTAGTACTAGTGAACAAGCCCGTGGATAGTGTTCATG